AAGAAACCCTGCCCTAAACTGTTCAGAATTGGGGTGTGAGAAGTTGGGGAGTTCCTGTGGGTTCTGCCTTTGACTTTCTCTCCCAGAAGAGAGGGGCTTCCTTGTTCCCAAGCCGCCCCCGGGTCAGTAGGGTCCATAATGACAGGCCACAGGGGCACGGCCTCCCAGTCCCAGCCCAGGTCTCCTCCAGGGAATTTACTTGGCAGTTGTAAATATTTGCTGCTGTTGGCTTGAGCCGGGGGTTGGGGGTCAGGGCCGGGGCTGGGAGCTCCAAGAGCCCTCCAGCAGGCCACCAGGAAGCTTTGGTCCGTGAATAGCCTGGCCTCTTCTTTGGGGTAAAATGAGGTTCCCATTCATTACCTGTGCACCTGCTTTTGGCCAGATCCATGCCAGGCACAGGAGACACAAGAGTGGAGATGGCAGGGTGGGGGCCACTAGAGCCAGGCAGGAGCTCCAAGAAGGTCACAGGCAGAGGGGACAGCCACTGTCTAGGACACGGAGAGGGAGAAAAGGCCAGTGGGGGCTGGGGACAAAATGGAGAGAGGGCAAGGCTAGGTGGCTGGGAGGGTGGAGAGGGGAGCTGCCCGGCTGGGGGTGGAGGGCGCCCTGGCCAGGAGCTGGGAGAGGGGCTGCCAGGCCTCCTGACAGCACCGGGGTGAACGGCAGCAGACCTGGTGTTTAGTCTCGGGGCTCTGAGCCCGCAGAGTGAGGCACAGGTGTGGCACCTGGTTAGTGTGGGAGGGACAGTGGAGAGCCCGAGCTTGAGAAGGGCCCAGCCTGGCAACTCCAATCTGCTCTTTTCAAAAAAAAGATTTTACTTATTTATTTTTAGAGAGAGAGGAAGGGAAGGAGAAAGAGAGGGAGAGAAACATCAATGTGCGGTTGCCTCTCGTGTGCCCCCAACTGGGGACCTGGCCCCCAACCCAGGCATGTGCCCTGACTGGGAACCGAACCGTAGACCCTTTGGTTCTCAGGCCCGAGATCAATCCACTGAGCTACGCCAGCCAGGCAATCTGTTCTTAAAGATTAAAAAAATTTTTTTTTTTTTTGAGAGAGGAAGAGAGGGAGAAGGAGAGGGAGAAAAACATCGATGTGAAAGAGAAACATTGATTGATTGCCTCTCACATGCACCCCAGCCAGGTCTGAACCCACGGTCCAGGCATGTGCCCCAACCGGGAATCAAACCTGTGATCTTTTGCTTTGCGGGATGACACCCAACCAGCTGAGCCACAGCGGTCAGGGCTGGGCTTAGGCTCTTTTGCTGTGTGACCTCAGGCAAACTCCTCTCCTCTCTGGTTCCCCATCGTGGAAGACAAGGGCCGTGGGGCTCCATGGGCAGGGGAGGTATGTGTGCGGTAAGGACAGTGGGACAGAGGGGGAACAGAGGCAGCCTGGTTACGGGGGGCCCATGGGAGAGGAGGGCAAGGGAGCCCCCAGTCCCTCTGTCTTTCTATCTGGGAGGGCCGGGGCTGAGACTGGCTTCTGGCAGCCCCGTGGCGCCCCAAATGCCCGAGCACACTCCTCCTCCTGAGGGGCCTCGGCCAGCGCTGCTGCAGAAGAAAGATCCTGGCTCTGGGTCAGACTGACGGACACCGAACCCCACTGTGACCCTGAGCAGGGCGTTCCCCTCTCCCAGCCTCAGTTTCCACACCTAGGCTCTCTGCACTGTGGCGCGATGGCATGATGCAAGTGGGTACAAGTGACACTCCTTGGCACGGAGGATGGTGGCAACCTTCTTTCCCCTTGTCAATATTACTGAGGCAGCGGGATGCTGCAGACCTCAGGTCAGAGCCCTGCGGAGAGTCCTGGCCGTGATGCTTGCTTGCTGTGTGACCTTGTGTGAAACCCACACCCTCTCTGATCCTCACTTTCCTTGTCTGAACGATGGGGCCGATGGGCGAGATATCTGTCTGCAGAGAGCCCCTAGAGGCACGGCGACATGGCGGCCACAGCAGAGCTCACCAGCCCAGGCCACTGAGCAGGTCAGGACCAGCCCGCATAGTAGGTTTTGGCCTTGGTTTTCCTTGCCCCTTATTTCTGGAGGAGCAGGCAGCCAGGGAGAGCCTCGCCTCCAGGCCCCCTCGCTGCCATCCAGCCCCACGTCCGAGACCTGGAGGCACTGACTGATGCTCGGTCACGCAGGTCCCAGTCCCGCGGCTTTCATGGGCTGAGTAGCCCCAGGCAGTCCCTTCACCTCTCTGAGCCTCAGTTTCCCCACCTGTGAAGTGAGGTCCATTCTCGTCCCTTCCTCAAAGGGCTGTCAGGAACATCAAAGAGACCACCCTCCCGCACCATCATGAACATTCCCATTGTGCAAATGGGAAAACCAGGGCTGAGCGCCGCGGGGTCCACGGCCTCGAGGCCAAGTCTGGAGACTCGAGGCCTGTTTGCCGAGCAGCCAGCCCAGAAGTGGAGTCTCAGAGCTGGGAGGCGGGCAGTTCCTGACAGTCACCACAGGACCCCCAGCACAGGGGCCGCAGAAAGGAGGATGGCATTTCCGGAGAATCTGCTATGGGCAGGGCGTGAGCCCTGGTCTTCTTAATAAGGTACGAGGTGAGTACTTTTCGGTCTCAGGTGATTTCCAGACAGAGATGGAGCTCAGAGAAGTGAAGTGACTTGTCCCAGGCTACACAGCAGAGTGCAACTGATCCAGGGCCAGAGTTTGGAATGGGAGGTGTTCCCTCTCCTTCAGCTCATCATGGGCTGCTCTGAGCCCTGTCGCCCCTGGTGACGCCCCAAGGTCATGTCACAGCACTGAGTAGACCACAAGGTCAGTAACCAGCAGGGGAAACAGCTGGGGGAGCTGGGCCTGGACATGGTGGTCAGAGGAAGGGCAGGGCCCGGGATGAGCCAGCAATGTCCCCATGCCTCCTCTCCCCCGGTCTCCGGGCACCAGCAGAGTTTTCCAGAATATCCAGGCTGGGGCATCCTTTACTCAGGTCCCACCCTGTGGGTGGGGAGAAGCCAGCCCTTCTTGTCCAATCTGACACCACCAGTGCCCACCTAGGGCCCCCATGCCATCTGCAGGGTCTTTACTGCCCACGCCCACCCGAGGCAGACTGTTAGCCCGACCATTTCCCAGGTGAGGACGCTGAGGCTCCGTGCAGGGTGCCGGCTGCTGCGAGAGCAGCTTGGTGCCCTTTAGAGAAGGCACCCCTCCCTCTCCGTGGGCAGGAGCCCAGTGCTGCTTGAACTGCAGCCTCCCCGCCCCCGAGATGGGCTCTTGACAATGACCTGCACAAGGAGGCCCCGGCCCAGGGCCACACAGCTGGTGTGTGGTGGAGCGAGCCTGGCCCCTGAAGCCCGGGATAACCCCGTCCCCAGGCTGGGGCCCGAAGGCCCTACAGAAGGAGCTGGCAGGCATCGGGGTTGGCCTGGCCCGTCCGTCCAGTGTGGTACGCCTTCCTCACCGTCGGCAGAGAGCTTCCAGCCCTGAGCCTGGTGCTTGGGCACATGGCTTCCAGCTGTCGGACTCAAGAGCGAGGGTGCTGCCCCTACCTGTCCTCTGTCCTTACCCCCTCTACGCTGGCTCCCCACATCCGGGAAGGTCTGCCCTTGGGAGAGGAGCCAGGGGCAGAGTGGTCTTTGCCTGGGCAGGCCCTGCAGGCCCAGGTGGCCACCCTGGGGACTTGCTCCCTCCCCACCAGCTCCTCTGTGGCCTCTTTGGCAGCAGCCCCTCCTGGCAGGCTCTCCTCTTGGCCCCCAGAGACCTCCCTTCCCCTCTTCCTGCTACCAGGGAGGGGAGGGAGCTGTTCCCGGCCCCCCTGCAGGCCCGCCCCTCCCAGCCCCCCACACCGGCCTTGGTGGCAGTCTCTGCACAGGACCCCTGCCGGGCTCCGGCTCCTTCCCAGGGCCACCGAGGACTCCCCCGCCCCCATCACACCCATCAGGCCCTTCCCTGCTGCACTGGGTGGTGGGCTCTGCTTTCGGCCCCACGTGACTGAGCATTTCACCCACTCCAGGTCCCTGGGCCTCTGCTGCCCGCTTTGTGAGCAGGGTCTGCGGTAGGGTCCCAGGGGGGTGAAGCATGCAAATCCTTCCAGAAGCACCCACGAATGGTGACTCCTGTTAGCATCCGTTCCCTTGATTCGGAGGCCGCGTTACCCACGTTCCTGTTTCTGGCATCAGACTCCGTCTTGCAGCTGACAATTCACATTGACGGGCTGCTCCGGGGCCCTGAACGGTCTACTGTGGTGCCTACAAGCCTGGTTCTCAGGCGGGTTCTAGTCCAGTCCGTCCTCTTTAGGGCCGTTTCCTAACACAGCCGTTGGTACCTAAAACCTTCCTCTCAGTGGGCTCAGCCAAGCAGCAGGGGTGGGAGTGGCCTGGGCCACTTAGCAGGAGAGGTCTTACCAGGTGACCGTGTGGCCAGGCTCCTGGGGAGCCCGGGCTGCCTCCTCTGTGACTGTGCTGGGCGCTCAGCCCTGAGCCACCCTGGGGGCAAGCAGAGAAGTGGGACATGCCGAGCAGGGTCCCCCTGCCTGGGACACACGCCCCACATGTGGCGCCCATTGGAGCTCTCCCATCCCTGAGGCCCTCGGGGCAGCCAGGCAGACCAAGGTTCCAGTGCGGATGCCACTTAGGAGCCGTGTGCCCATCGCCTGCCTGAGCCTCTGCCTCCTCCGCGGCAGGAGGGGTGACCTTGCTGGCCTGCTGGCCTACATGGTGCTTTGCTTCCACGAGCTGTTACTGAGGCCCAGGGAAATGCTGGGTTTCCCCGTGTTCGGAGGAGAGGCTTGGGATGGCGTGACTTAAGATGTGAGCCACAGAGCATGTATCAAATTTCTCCAGGGATCCTGAGAGTCTCCCACCAGGCAGGCCGACACCCACAGGGCAGCAGGTGCCTACTGCGTCTGAGCCGTGACTCACTGGCAGCTCCATTCAGGGGACCACAGTGTACAGGGATTGCACACTCCAGTGTCTACCAACTTAGCAGCAGTTTGCTGCTCCCCCCATCCACCCTCGGGGAAGCATGTGGCCCGAACCCGGGCCAGTCCTACCTTCCTCGCAGCCAGCCCCCGAATGCCCAGGGCAGCACCTCCACTCCCGGGCGGTCACTGTCTTGTACATCACCTTGTATGTGGGTCTCACCACGGTTCTGTAGCTGAAAGAGTGACCAGGTGGCCCCGCTCAGACACAGTCCTCCGCTGCTTCTCCCACTCTTCCGTGGGGACAAACCCAGAGCCCCCAGGGTCTTCTGCCCCCCTCCAGGCCCCTTTGGAGCCTCTCTCCTCCTGCACTCCAGGATTCGGCCCTTCCATTCCTTCCCAATATTCCAGCCTTGGGGGTCCGGTACCAATTGGACAAGAAGCCCCTGCAAGCTCAGCCAGCCTGTCCCTAGCAATAAATGCTCGCTGAGTGAAGGTATGTGAGTGAATGATGGCACCCCTCCCCCAGGAAGCCCTCCAGGGTGCCCCAAGAGGAGGTGATGAGAGCGGGTAAAGGGCCAACACTCCCTTTGCTCCACCGCCCGGGGTCCCAGCCTGCCCCTGCACACCCAGGGCACCCCCGCCACCAGGCCTTTGCCCATGCTGTGCCTTCACCTTCGAGGCCACCAGCTTCTTCTCTACCGCGGGCTCACTCACCTGTTCCCCGGGCAGCTCATAGGCCAGGGGCAATTCTGCAGCACTCGCTGAAGGTACGTGCCGTTTTGCACATGGCAGGAGATGGTGCGGGTCACCACGTAGGAGCACCAGTTCCTGAAACAGACCCGAGGGGAGGAGTCAGGTGCCACACACAGCCCCCTGCCTGGGGCCCCGGCAGGGAGAGGGCGGAGGGCCAGGTTCTCTCCAGGGTCCCCGAGGCTCCAGGCACAGAGACCCCTGAGCTCTCAGAGTCCTCAGGGCCCCAGTGGGAGTCTCCGTGCTGCTGTGGTTGAGGGGTGAATTCCATAGCCCTAGAGTGGGTGGCCGTGCGGGGGGCTCTCGGGAGGTCTTGAGGAGTGAGCTTCGGGGGACAAGATGGGAACAGGGCACCTTTGAAGGGCCTCTCCCTTCTCAACATCTCTCCTCTCAACCCTGACCCGTCTAGACCACTCTTGCCTCCTGCCTCCCAGCCGCCACTCCAGCAGAGGCCTCTCGTCTTGCCTTCGGCTTCTCCCCAGAGGGAGTGCAGTGCAACGGAGACCTGGCCTCGCCTCCTCCACCCTCGGCCCTTTAGAGATCTTGTGCCCCGTCCGCCTTAGGGCCCTCACCACCAGGCCCTCACTCAGGCTGGGGGCCTGCCTGGAGCGCCCTTCCTCCGCTGCTCCACGGGGGGCCTCTCCCTTGTCTTCCCCACCCCCACCTCCACCCCAGCAGGACTGCTGGTCCCCTGCCCTGGGTCCCGCAGCACTTGGTCCCCCTGTGGTGGGGATTCATGTCAGCTCCTCCCCTCCTGCCCCCCACCCCAGGCCCTGTCTCACTTATCATCCCCGTGTCTCCTCTGTGTGACAGCTGTGATGTGCAGTGTCCCAAGCTTAGAGAACTTCTCCAAGTGCTAACTCATAATCCCAGTGCGCTGCACATATTGAGCACCTATTGTATCCTAGGGGTATTTACATCATCTTCCCAGTGATCCAAGAAGGCAACCCCATTTTACAAAGGGGTAAACCGAGGCTCCAGAGGGGGAAATGCTCACTCACATCACAGAGCTGGTGCACGGTGGAGCAGATTTGAGCCCAGTTATATGGACAGCCCGCTTGGCCCCTAACTCCACCTCCAAGGCCTCCTCTCTGCCTCCCCTCCGTCTCCTGAGTCACAGGCCCGTCTCCTGAGTCACAGGCCCGTAGCTCCTTGTAGGCTCCAGCCTGGGAACTGGCTGACCTCGCGCTTTGGGCCACAGAGGAAAGCCACAAAGGGCTCAGGCTGAGAAGGGTCACCTGAAACGGTCCCTCTTTTCCCAGCCCAGGCAAAAAATGCAGGGCGCGTGACCCCATGCTGGGCCGAGGGCCACTGAGAACCTGGAATGTCACAGAGGCCACAGAGCACCAGCCGTCACAAAGGTGCCTGCCACCATTGAAATCCAGCCCCCCAACGTCTGCCCGGCCCTTACCCAGGCCCACCTGAAGGAGAAAGGCCTACGAACTTGATGTGCGACCGTGGGGAAGCTTCTTAGCCACTGTGTGTCATGCTGGAACCAGGCCAGGAGGAGGGGAAACAGCTTAGCCAAAGGCATGGAGGGGAGAAGGCAGGGAGAAGGGATGGCTGATGGCGGAAGAGCCCTGGGCCGACCGCCCCATGGGGGAGGGGGAGGGGGCAGGTGCTCGGGCAGCGCCCTCAGGAACTGCACAACCTGGGAAAGGTCTGACCGGGGCCACTGGACGTAGGTGCTGGGACAGAGCCCGAGGTCTCCCTGGGACGCCATTAAGCCTGGTTACAGGGGAAAGCCCGCGCAGACCGCCAGAGAAAGACTGCATTTCTATTACACTCGGACAGAAAGTCGAAGACTGTGTACACACGTGTGCACACGTATAGCCATGTGTGGGTGAAGTTAGGGGAAGCTCAAGCTCACATCAAATTGCCACCCCTGGGGGCACAGAGGGGCTTTCCGTAGGCCCCACCTCCTGTGCTCACAGCCGCTTCGGGTCGTGCTTGCCGTGTGCCGTGTGCTGTGTGCCGTGTGCCGAGAGCTGGGCCCCGGGCCCTCCACCACCCGGCTATAAGTGCCGCTGACAGAGGGGAGGGCTGAGGCCCCGGGGTCCAGACAGACCCTACGCACCCTGGGGGAGTGACCTGGTCACGGTGGGAACGCAGGTCTGTCTGACCCCCGAGCTTGTGTTCTTAACCTTACGCTGGAAATGATTTTCCTGAGAAGCAGGTGGGGATTTTTATAAGTTTAATAAGATACCTTAGGGTCCCAGGAGCTGTGGTTTTCAACCTGCTGGGGTTTTTGTTGGGGAAAGTGATGTGTGTTGTGGCTTTTCCCCAGAAAAATGCACAAAAATTGGGGGCACAAGTTCAGGGGGATTCAAGGACTCCCTGCAGTCTGTGAAGACCCCCCTGGCTGGCCCAGGGACGCTGTGAGGGAAGGAAGGAGGGAGGGAGGGAGGAACCTGGGTAGCAACAGAAGCTCCAGATGCAGGAGGGGCCCTGGGCACAGAATGAAGACCATGTGCGAGGACAGACACACACTCACAACACATGCATGCAGCACACTCTTCAATGTACACACATGAGCACAAGGCATGCAGAAACACTCACACATGCTTATGTGCACACAACTCCCAGACACATACAGACCCCTCCTGGGACACGCACACGTTTGGGCACACAGTCGGACCAAAGCAAACCCCACAGAAGTGACTGTCCTCGTAGCACCAGGGCGTACAGCTGCACACACAGGGCTGGGCACCGCCACACATGTGCCTGGACCATGCTGGGGGACACGGGCCTGTGACTGCCCACAGCTGCCCCGGCTGCCCCTCTTTGGGGAGCCAGAGAAAACAATTTTTTTATTCTTCCTTAATTAAACGCTCCCCCCTGTGGGTCGCGGCATGGCTCAGCCGTTCATTTCCCACGAGCTGGAGTTTGCTTGAATCCTCTGCTTAGGAGACAGGGAGCCAGTGGCCAGCTGGCCAGACATTTTAGATGGAAGGGGACACTCAGGCCAGGAGGGACACAAAGTTAGCCCTTGGTCCCCTCCTCCTGGGCCTTGAAGACCCCAAACCTGTTGCCCCCAGGGTAAACCCGAGCTCCCATACAGGGTCCCAGCCTGGTCCCGCTGCCCGTCTGCCCGCCCCTGGGTCCACTTTCCAGAAGCAGCAGAGGCTCTTTGCAGAGCACAGACCTAACGGTGCCACTGCCCGTGGTGGAGTCTGCCCCCGTGGCTCCACATCGCCACCCTGTGAGCCCTGACCGCTCTGCCCCACGCGCTGCCCCCTCCCTCTGCCCTCTGCCCTCCCTCCCACCTGCTGCATTCTCCCGCACCTCAGGTCTTTGCACACTAGAGTCTCTCTGCCTCGAAAGCCCTCCCGCTGCTCCTGCATCCCTGGGGTCTCAGTCCTGAGGACACCAGCAGAACTAGGCATCTCCAGGTGCGCAGAAGCCCTGAGCATCTGGGGGAAGGACATTGTACCAAGCCAGGATGGGATTCAGCCTGAGGGTTCTCGGAGAGGTTTGCTGAACGACTGAGAGCTGTGGCCCTGAGCAGAGGGGTCAGGACTCAGGTTCTCAGAGCCTGGAGACCCTGCCTCAATCCTGCTGCCCCTGGGGGCTTCCTTTCCTGGGTTGTGGTAGGTGATAAGCTGGCCAAGAACTTGGTGAGGCTGGGCCACCTCTGGTGGGATGGGGCAAGGGCAGGGGCCGGGAGGAGGTAGCCCTTCTCTCCTGGGCCTGCCACTTCTGCCTACTCAGCACCTTCTGGGCCACTGGGGGAAGGAAGGAAAACAGGCCAGACCAGCTCAGCCTGGCACCAGCCGTCCCACTGGTCCCCCTCGCCCACCCCCAACTTGCCCTCCACCTCCTGCCGTGAGGGGCCCAGGGGACTTTGTCTCCGAGGGGCCCAGGGCTGCGATCCGGAACAGTGATAGGGGCTAATTGCAGGAGGCAGCCAAATGGGCTGGGGGCCAGGGCCGTTGTGAAAAGGAGAGGAAAGAAAGGGAACCTACCGGCTGGGGGTGGGGTGACTACAGCCAGAACCCCACACTGGAGGCAAAGTTGTGGTCCTAGCTCGGCTGCTTCCTAACTCGGTGACCTTGAACAAGGCCCTGACCCTCTCTGGGCCTCACTCTGCCCATCTGCAAATGGGGACAGCAGATTCTCCTCTGGGGAGGTCTCACACAAAGCGCATAGCACGGTGCTAATAGCTACTGGCAATTCTTGTTCCTGCACTGCCACACAGGCCCCACAGCCCTCAGCTGTGGCCGGGGCCTTCCCTGGGGCTTGGGGACACCAGCACAGCATCTTCCACACAAAGTCCTCTCCACGAGTGCAGGGTATGAACTGTCAGGCTCTGCATTTCACAGAGGGGGAAACTGAGGCTCCGAGAGGGGTCACCTCCCCTGGACACCCATGTAGGTGTGGCGTTGGGTCTGAGCGCCCTGGAGAGAGGCTGGGAAGGGGACTCCCCAGTCTCCTTGATCTTAGCACTTGCCCCCAGGAAGCCGGGACTGCAGCAGGAGGAGGCCTGGGCCAGGACACTGGTGACGGCTTTAACCCCAGATGAGGGTTCAGGTTGGAGGGGACCTCTGAGGGGCAGGAAGCAGTCCCAGCAGGGATGGGGGGACAGACAGGGGTAGAGGTGAGCCAGGCAGCTCTGCACGCCCTGAGGCGCCCTGGTTCCTGGGGTCTCCAAGTCTCACCACATTCCTGGGGCTGGGGGCGGCCCCTTGGATGCCTTCCCAGCACCCCCCCACCAGACACAAAGCCTCTTTTCTGCCTCTTGTCCCTTGGCTGCCAAGGGGCGCCTGGGGCGCTGGGCTGGGGGTGGAGGGAGGGCGAATGGGGCGAGACATCCCCATGCTGTCTCCAACGACGCTGGGGTGAGGCCACAAGGGGAAGTCCTGGCAGCCAGGGCCGACAGATTCCTCCAGCTCGGGGTCCCTTCCCCCACCTAGTGCTGGTGGTGGCAGGAACCTCAACTGTATGGCAGGGCCCGAGGTGGTCCTTCCCATGGGGACCGTCCGTTCCAAGAACAGGCCTGGGAGCAGGGGGAGAGGGCAGGAGAGGGAAACAGAGGAAGCTGAGACGGAAAGTGAGACCCGGGGCTGCGAAGTGACCTCCCTGGCACATACTCAGTGGGTGGGAGAGCCAGGGCCACGACCCCTCACTCCTAACCACGACCCGCAAATCTTTACCAAACCCGGAAGCTGACCACTCTGCTAGGCTGGAAAGGACGCAGGGATCGGGAGCTGGCCGGCCTGGGCCAAGGGGCCTCTGGTCCTTTTAGGCCCCAGTCTGTATCTAGAGACCAACGGCAGTGCCACCGGGGCGTCTGTGATGCTCAGGCCACCGTGGACTGTCGTGAACACACAGGGTGACAGTCCCCAGTGACCACCAGACAATACCCACAGCCACCGTCCTGCTGCCACCCAGGAAGCCCTGGGGGTGAGGAACCCAGGGTGGCAGGCCCTGTCCTGGACTGGATGGGCGGCGGGAGGGCAGGCTGGGCCTTACGTCCTCTCAGACCTCACCCTGACCCAGACAACGAGAATTCCCAGTTCAGAGTCTCGGTCATCTTAGCAGCTGGGATCCTGGGGGTTCACATCCCCCCTTGATCCTCAGTTTCCTCTTCTATGAAAAGGGCACCAGAGAAGCACATGCCTCCTGAGGTGGTTGGGAAGATTTGGGAGGCGCCGGATGCAGGTGACATGCCCAGCCCAGGCCAGCGGCAGCCGGCAGGCAGTAGGTGGTGACTGTGACGTCTGCTACCTGTCTGTCCATCCCTGTCTCAGACGACGGGTCTTCCGGCCTCTGAGTCTCAGCCGCCTTTCCCTTCTAGCTCCACCCATGTCACCTGCTCTCGCCAGCCCAGAGGGGGCATGCTAGCTCCCCAATCACCTGTTGGAGTGAGGAGAATTTCTGAAAGAAATAGAGAAGTGAGGTCATAGCGAGTGGGGGTGGACAGGCATCCCAACGTGAAGAAAAGGCCAGGGAAAGCCTCACTGTTCTCTGTCACTTGCGTGGCTGGCTGGCCCCTCCGCAGGGACCCCCCGGAGGCAGGGGCTGCAGCCCGGACAGTGCCAGGCAGGCTCACATGGTGTCATCAAGGATTGATGCGGATTGGAACCCCAGCCCTTCTATTAATGACCTGCAAGCCTAGAAGATTATATCAATTTGCTGGGGCCTCAGTTTGCTCATCTGCTAAGTGGGAACAAGTGTTGCAGAACCTCTTTCAGTCCTTGAAGGCTTAACAAGGACACTGCCTGTAAAGGGCCCCTGGCTGGTCCTGGGAGATGCTCTGCAAACGCCAGCAGAGAGAAGAGAAGGCTCCAGGCTCCTGAGAGCTCTGCAGAAGAGCAGCCCTCCTATCTCTGTCCAAAAATGCCAGGTCCCAGGGGGCCGACACTAACCCGGGGGCATTGAAACTCCACCCCAGTCTTTTTCCTCCTAGTGAAATAAATAGCCGGTACTAAAAAAAGCCAGGAGCAAGGAAAAGGGAGGGGAGTCCTCGAAGTGTCAGCTAGGGGATGTCCTGGGCTTTCCTAACTGTGGGGCGGGTGGGGGGCGGGGGCTTGGGTTAAGGGGACCAAACTCCTTGCGGGGGGGGGCGGTGTCCCCGTTGTTCCCCGTAACACTCCTCTGGGGATCTGGGGGTGGGGGATGGAGGAGGCTGTCAGGGAGGGGGCGCTGCCGGCTCCAGACACACGGAGTAAGGGAACCTCAGCACTTCTGGGAGCCTCTGCCAGATAGTGGGGCGAGCCAGGGCCCCTGCCCCCACCCGGGCTGGCACTGCGGTGGGGGACTAGGTTCCTTTCCCAATTCAGGGCTTGCACGAAGGTTGCGGGGGGCGGAGGGAGGCAGGGAGTGCTTGGGGTCCCGGGCCCCCACCCCAGGCTGGCAGGGCACAGAAGTAAGTGGCCGTAGGGGCCAGCCCTTACCTGCGTCCGGAGAACTGGGCTGCTCCGACGCTCCAAGCAGCGCTGCCTCCCGGGAGCAGGAGCCCGAGGAAGAACAGAGCCCAGGCCCGCGGGCCGCCCATGCTGCGCCCGGCGCCCTCCGCGCGCGGCCCCTCGCCGTCGCCGCCCCCAGCCTGCCGTCCACGCCCGCCCGCGCCGCCAGCCGACCCGGACGCGCGGATCCCGGTTCCCAGCGCAGCGGCGGGAGGGCGGGAGGGAGGCGGGCGCGGGGCGGAGGCGCGCATCCCGGACTCGCCCGGCCCCTCGGCGCGGCCCCCCGCCCCCCGCGCCGCTGCTGCCAACCCGGAAGGAGCCCCGGGGGGCCGGGCGTCCCCGCCAGGAGGCCGGTCAGGTGCCCACCTGATCCCGGAGCTCTGCACCGCGTGGTCCTTTGGGTGCGGGGTGCCAGTTCGGAGATGCCCTCCCACGTGCTGCAGACTGAGGGACTGCGTCCCGGGCCGCGGTCTCAGAGCTGCCCTAGTCAACCAAGAGCCGGGGGCTGCCAAACCTGAGCTAATGATGGGGCAGCCTCATCCCCCTTTTTTTTGGAGGGATCTTGTTCCTGAGGCACGTGGGATCGGCCATCCATGCAACAAAGGCTTGCTGAGCAGTGAGCGCCTCTGTGTGCAGGACACCTAACCTTCGCCTCACATCCTGTTTCAGTTTAAGCTGCCAATCCCTCTGGGAGGCACGGGCACAGCTATCCCCATTTCCCAGAAGGGAAAACTGAGGCCCGGGGTCTCCCTGGAAGGACAAGACCTGTGTTAATCCCATGAGGTCAGTGTCCCCTCCTCCCTGTATTACATGAGAAACCGAAGCCAGCGAGAAAACATCATTTGCCTAAAGCCCTCCCTCAGTGGTTGGAAGAGCTAGGTTTTGAACAGAAATCTCCTGACTTCAGAGGGGGTCCACTCTTAAGCACCAATCCAGAAGAGAGCACATTGGTCTGGGGCTCACTTTTCCCATCTGTACAAGGCAGGGACTGGCTTGGAGTGGATTTCCTCCACCGGGGGCACCTGGGTGAGCCAGCCCCTGGGGAGAGGGCTGTGAACACCAGGTGCAAGCAAATGTGTGTTTGTGGTGCGTGTGTATGTGCAGGAATGATGGGTATGTTCACGGGGCAAGACCACTGCTGTCATCAGAGGGGACCCAGAATCCTCTGAAACTCTAGCACAGCCTCTCACCCGCTTTTGCCTGGAGTGAGGTGCAGCGGGCAGTCTGGGGCTGGGGAGCCCCTGTCCAGCTTGGTGGTGCAGTGGGGGCCTGTCCCTCAGAACCCTGCCGTGGGTTTGTGCAGATTCCAGATCTCTGCTAGGAACTCGCCAGTGGGAAGGGCCTGCCAGCCCCACCTTTGAGCTCTGGGGACTGCCTCTCCTGGACCTGCCACGGGTGGGTGCACCAGCTCCTGGGGCCCTGAGTCAGCGCCAGCCAGGGTGTGCGGATACTCAGGGAGCTGACCCCTGTCTCCCCGAGGGGGTGGTTCCAACCCAGCCTCTGCCCCCTCTGCTGGAGTCAGCTTGGGCAGCCCCTCCCTTCTCTGAGCCTCAGTTTCTCTTTGTAAGGAACACAGTTGCATATTCCCTAGGGGGGCATGGGCAGGAATGGGATGTTACAGCTATGACCTGACACCCACCCACCTTCCCCTGCTTTACATGGTCTCCCAAGGGCAGCCCACGTGCTCCAATGACATCATCACCGTGCCAGCTTTGCCCCTTTGGGAAGCTCCCTCCCTCCCCTCCATGTGCGATTTTGGGGCACCTCCTATGTGTTGCTTATTTGCACCCCCCAAAAATGCAGCTTTGTGCCTCTCTGGTTAGCCCTTGTTTTTGACACAACTTGATCAGGGACTTAATCCTTTGGGTGACTTGTGGTTCTTGAGGGGCCATCTCCTGAGAGGCGGCCAGGCCCATCCTCATTCTGGTTGAGTGGCCGCGATCAAAAGGGCGCTCTGCAAAGGGCACTCTGAGGGGCAGCGGGTCTTCAGGGAGGGGAAGGGCCGCGCAGTGGCCCCTGTCCCGGGAGGGCTTCAGAGGGCCTGTGAGGTGACCGGGAGCTCTGACGGGTGCCACAGAGCGAGGAGCCACCACCAGGGCTGTCTGCAACATGTCCGAGACAGTCCTGTGATCAATGGCATCTCATCCCTTTCCCACTGAGCTCATGGCAGCTTCCGGCCACTGTGGAATTTCTCCACCAAGGGACCCTCTCAGTGAAAGCTGTCACCAACATTCTGACATCGAGAGGACCCTCTCCTTGCTGTGAGGCAGAGACCCCTTTGGCCAGGGTATTTATTTATGGCTACAGCTACACGGTGACAGTGTAGCCTGATGGTTACTGCATAGGCTCAACACCCCATAGGCCTGGATGTCCATTCCTGTGTGACTTGGGACAAGATACCTCCCTCTCTGAGCCTCATTTACTTGCCTGAAAAATTAAGTCCTTGGACCTTTTTAAGATTCTTCTGACTCAAGAGTTTACGCTTCTGGGAAAATATGAGGACTTTGGGTCTCCCTACACGCACAGTCCAAAGCCCCCCGTTTTTATGGTGTATTTTTTCCGTCACCATTAGTCCCCTTGTATCCCACTCCTCCCTCCCCCGAGCTCCCTTTTAAGGGCACACTTTCCTGGTGACTGTCAGCCTGTTTTCTGGTCTTCTTCCCTCCCTGAGCAGGAAGGGCAGGAAATGCTGCGGAGACCTGGGTCTTAATTATTTGAGGTTTCAGTATTTGCTGAGACCAAGGGTGGCGGGGAGGGGCCTCTGGCTCGAGGTCTCAGGCCTGTCCCTGTGGGCGGGGCCTCCTCCCCAGGGGCTGGTCCTTTCTGCTGCCAAGACCAGACCACAACCGCTAGTAAGGCCAGCAGCTTCCGGTGGGAGCTCTGACTGTGCCAGGTGCTGCGCTAAGCGTTTTGCTTGCTTTGTTCCCCGTCCTGATCTCCACCACCCGTGGGGGCCTTTTCACCCCCAGGTGTGGGGGCTTGCCCCAGGGCCCCAGCTGGTGAGTGATGGCTACCCACTAGACCACACTGCTGCCCTCTGGCTGAGCCCTTCAGTGGGATGTCTTTGGGGGAAACAATGAACACTCATCTCAGACTCAGGCTCCCGTCTGGGAGCTGATGATCTGGGAGAGCACACAGAGACCACACAGGGACACGGACTGGGACACGCACACCCGAGTGCATGCACACCCGCACACACACCCTGTCTCCCGCAGGCCTTCTGGCTGGATTCACAGTGCGTCCACCCTGGCCTAGTCCAAACAGGAAATGCTGTTCTCCCGTACAGAGAGAAAGCCTCCTTCCCCTGTCACCTCCCACTGGGCACACACTAAGTGCCTCTTTCCTGTGCCTGTCTCCTACTGGACAGCCTCCCCAGCTGGGGGCGCCCATATCAGTCCTGTTTACACACCGGTTTGCGTGAGCTCAGGCCGTCCACCAGATCTGGGCCCGGTTTGCGCCCATTCTATCGGTGAGGAAGCCGGCCACGGGGAACGAGCCTTGCCCAGAGTGCATGGTGGCAGCAGCCCTGGATGTCATGAAAGGGAAGGGCCATGTAAACCCAGTGGCCTTCAAAGCCTCTGCCCAGACAAAGGGCCGGCTCGGAGGGCGGGGCCTTCCCTGTGCTTGCAGGTTGGGGAACAATGCCCGCTGCCCGCTTTCTGTGCCTTTGATCTGGAGGCCTGGCCCCCCTGCCCCTCCATCCCAGAGCAGGGGCACCCTGTTGGGCCAGAGTGGGGTTACTGGGGGACCCAGAGAGCCTGCAGCTGCCTGGCCAAGTTATTTATGCCTCACGAAGCTTCCCTTCTCACCCAGCTCATTCCTTTGCCACGGAGCTGGGACTGGAGCTGGAGGGGAGTGAAGGGAGGAAGGAAGCTGCTAGAAAATCATAAATTAGGGGAGGGCCTTCCTGCCCTCCTCAAGAATCCTCAGGAGGAGAAGCCTGCACCTTTGGGCAGGGGGAGGACAACAGAAGGACAGGGCAGGGACAGGCAGGCATGGCAGGCAGGGAGCCTGTACTTGGGGTTAGGAGACCCAGATGTTCGGGGTGGCCTACAGTGAGTCCCTTCTGTCCAGGCCTCGGTCCCCCCATCTGGAAAATGGGGTGGTATAAGAGTTGGGGAATTTCCTGAGACCATGTAGGAATGGACAAATGAGAGGCCTTCTCCTTAAGGTTCATCCCACTTCCCTTCCCCCAAATCCCCTCCTTTCTGCCCCACTAACCTTTGTTGGGATGCCTTACTCTGCTTCTCTTTCCATACCTCTCCTCCTGCAAAAATGGACTAATGAAGTCTCCTGAGGCAGTGTCTACCTAGCTGGAGATAGAGGGAGGAGCTGTTGGCTCATTCACACTAGAGTGTTCAGGACTGATACAGTTAATATGGTTAAATGTTGGGAGGCAGTTAACAGGGATTCTTCTTCATTTAAGGCCTCAGTCCCTAATAGTGGAACTTCTAGGCTGGTAAGGGGGGGGGGTGCTTGCTGAGCAAGGGTCTAGGAACCAGATTTGCCAAGGGGGATGACCTTCTGTGTGGGAAGGTGTCCCTCTCTGCGCCCCTGTGAGGTGAAACCCACCCTCTGCTGGACACATCTGAAATGGTGCCCGGAGGCGCTGTGGGTTGGATGGGTCTGGCAGGTGTGAAGGGCAGGCAAGAGGGGCTACTCAGCGCAGAGACCTTCCAGCAGCCCACCTGCCCTGCACACATCAGGAGGTGCCTGTGGAGCCAGAGGCACCTGGGCCTACCCCACCTGACACCCCCCATGTGAGTGGTTGCCTCCTCTGAGCAGGTGGTTCTGAGGGGGAGGGGCAATGAGAGGAGTAGAGAGAGGGTGGAGCCGGGGAGAGTCACGGAGATGCTGGGAAAGAGAAAGAGGGCCAGTGAGCCAGAGATAGAGTGATGCAAGTGGGTCGGAGAGATGTAGAAAGAGACAGGGGGAAAGACACACAGAGAGACAGACAGGAAGAGAGACAGGCAGACAGACACCGAGGGGAAGGCGCTGTGGGAGGAGGACCCCAGGCTGTGGGTCTTCGCATCCGTGGGAGCTGGGCAGAGAGGCTGTGCCAGGGCGCCAGCCCGGCACCGGGCCAGGGCCTCAGCTGTCCCTCTGCACCCCATGGGCTCTGGCCTCCCTCAGACCTGCACCCCCACAGCCTTGAGGCCGGGGAACCAGCTCTCCCCCCATCTGCCACCCATGTCTGGCACTG